GTGGTGTTTGTAGCGTCAACTACAAACTTTGTCTGAGAGCGGTTACTCTGATGAGTGTTGCCTCTGCCCGCGCGGCATGATTCAGGTATAGAAGGAGTTAATTGCCAGATCCAGCTTCACAAGACGACACCTCATCGTGTGACGAGTGTGACTTGCTAGCGAGACCCCAGATCACTATAAATTATATGTTGCCAGCTATTCAGGCTTCCAGTCAATGTTGCCGCCTCTAGTTGGGAACTGGGTGTTCCACTGATTTAGACGGACACAGAAACTCAATTAGAGTCGCCGTGTTTCAGCAAACGGGATGGGCATGCTGAAGCTGTGTACTTCGGTGAAACAGGTGTCCGTGCCCACTGCCCCTATTGCATGCGTTGAAATTTCCGCAGAATTTGGCGTGCCGTCAAAAATAGCATATTTAATACCTTGTTCACGCAGCCCGGGTTTGTTGACACGTTAAATATTAATTAGGCGCTGCCTAGAAATTTCGTGAATTGTGGGCCTTCGGCTCGAGCCATAGAATTCTACGAGTTTCTCATCTGTGAATAAAAAGTGATTGATTTACATTAACTTGGTGCAATAAATGCGTTCTTTATCAGAACAATTATACCCATGCCAAAAGCTGCCAGTGGCTATCCTTTAAGTATGCTATCTTTTGCTGCACCCTGCTATTAACTGCTACGCTGAATGTCCCGTGATTTCAGTTTATTGTAATGATGCGCATAGCCAAAGTATGTGATTATATCTTGCCATCTGCGATATTGATTTTCTTGCCACTTGCCTCTGCTCGCCCATATAAGCAGTAAGCTACGTTCTTCCAGCTACAAAACTATTTTAGGCCATACATGAATGGGAACCACTTGGCATATTTTGAGAACACTATGAGTCTATACACCTCAGCTGACCATACACAGATAGCAGCATGGTTACTAAGTATGGACCACCATTCAAGTGAACGTACTCTGAAACCTGAGCTCATTAATCTACCTAAAAATCATGCGGTGTGGATTTGCAGTGCCATACACGCCGATGTGTATTGCTCGAATGTATCACATCGTGGCCAGATCTGAAGTGAATTAGCACATCGCTAGCCAGTGCGTGTGTAATGCCCTCCTGCTTGCGACTGTCTGCAAAATATCGTACCAGCCAGTCGCTGTGAATAATTTGGTAGCTGACGCGTAGATGTTCATTACATACGTAATGGGATTAGACTGCTGCACTCTGCATACATTATTATATGTTGGTGTTCAATGTGGTGACAAAGTACTAATATGGTGTCACTTCGAAGTTGATGATATCATAGAGCTTGTTGTATAGATCAGTTAATAATGTCTACCACTGTGCTAGATATTTGTAATGTGATCGAGTTGCCGCGTGTGTACTCACTTTCTGCACTAATCGTTGTAGTACAACTTGTGCTATCACAATGCGCTGTGATGTACATGTTAGTACATGTATCTCAAATATGTATACTTCTGAATATTTGTCGCTACTCGATTCAGAATTCGTTTGTATATAATATTGCATTGCTATGCGCTGAGTGCATCTGTACGTGTGTTCTTCTATATGTCCAGAGTGCATTGACTCAGTGCATGGTACACTTGGCCATAAGATTATGCCACATTTGGGAATCGCTGCAGTCCAATTCAGCGCAGTGTATGCGATCTATAGAAATTCTCTTATTTTAAATTTTCACGGTATTATAACTCAGTATGCAGTTCCTACCTTGCACATCTCCATCCTTGGCTGCACTTCACTATCGCAAAAGCGATTTTGTTGCCCAAATATGGCACACGCATGTAAGAAGGGCTACCATTGGTTTCTTATGGGGCATATATGGTAACACTAATAAACATCTATTTTGGGCAGTGTGATGGCATGCATCTTCTCTGTGAATCTTGTTTATTTTCACATTGACCAAATAGAAGTAGTTGTACTTATAGTGCTCCCACTGCATGATTCAAGCTTATTTCTTATTGTGGCTGTTGATAGCCGTCAAATACAAACTTGTCTTGACGTTTACTGAGAGTGTTGCCCTGCATGATTAGTATAGAAGAGTAATTCCAACCACTCACAGACACACCCATCTGTGACAGTGTGATTGCTAGCGACCTAGATACTATAAATTATAGTTGCCAGCTATAGGCTCCATGCATGTTGCAGCCGCAGTTGGAACTGCGTGTAATATTTACCGGACACAGAAATCAATAAATCCCGTGTTGAAAGGTGATGCTGAATGTACTGTGAACATGGCGTTTTGCAGAGTGTGTGGAGTAAGTGGAAAGTGCAAGTGGAAAGTCTGTGTGGAGTGAATGTAGAAGATAAAGTGAAAGCTTATTCATATTATTTGTTGGCAATTAATTGAATGACATTAGCTTGTTGTATAATCAGAATTAATGTCTGCCACTGCAGTATCTTGTAATGTCAGCAATGTTCCCCGTGATATAATAATTAAATATGAAACCTAATATTGCACTGTCAAAATTGTGTGTTTTTTCGTGGCTTTTCATCACAGTAAGTGTAAGCGGCCGCCAACCTTGCAAGTATAATGGCAATTCCATAATGAATGTCAAAACATTAGTGAAATTGAATTCTCAGCGAGGTGTACATGGGTATTGTGTATGCGCTGATAGAAAGATGTAGATTAAGCGTTAGTCGTGTTGGAAATTGTGGGCATTGCGTGGATAGTGTTGGGAGGTGAGAGCATTGCATGGGTAGTGTGGGAAATTGTGAGCATTGCTTGGGTCACTGGTGTGGGAAGAATAGCTGTTATGTGGGTGGTGTGTGTGAAGGTGGAGGCTTTCTATGTGTGGTACTATCTGTTGTTAGGAATTGCTGATGTTAGGAATTATAGCCTTTATTTCATAGTAAATTGTTCAGGGTTTGTGATTTCATATCCGAAATTCAACTGACGATGAAGAACTAGCTAGCTGTTGTGTATTGGTGTTTGCATGTATCACTTATTTACATATTTTTGACGATGAAATCTGTTTACAGCTCTGAATACAATAACGACATGGAGTTGGATCATGTTGGTTATCGTAGCGATGGTTCTGGAGGATTCTTTGAAGGTTTGCTTGGCTGTCTTCGCCCTGTATGGACTATCATTGGCAAGGCAGCGCAAGCAGAAATAAAAATGAAAGGTACGATGAAAGGTAAGAAAGGCAATGAAGTCATGAGAGATTAAATGCAGACTGAAGTGGTACAATTACTTGATCAAAAATTTTATAACCCCCTTTTATTAATCTACGTTCCGACCCTTCGCAAATATTCAACAGCGAAGAACGAGTGCAAGGATTGCCTTTAATCTAAATTTAGTGCAGTCGATGAAGGTAACTAAGGTAAATTGTGCCTCTTCAACATCATAATTTAAACTCTAATCTGACCAATATAAATATCAGACGTTGTCCAAAGAAATTGGGATATTGATCATTAGGTTTAAAGATCATTCATGATCAGACTTGGGCACTGTGAGATTCTTCTCATGGTTACGCACAGTTTTACCAACCTGAACTATTATTTTTGTTCCAAATTGTAGATAGAAGGATTTTATTAGCTTGTTCATTGATTGAATCATGATTCTTTTCCTGTAGCAATCCTTTTCGACTAAAAATGCTAACTTTCACATGCACACAATTCCAATTTCCTGTAACCTTTAAATTTTCTGGTCACGCAAAGATGAAACCAAAGTGCGTGGTTCATAAATCGACCTCTAATCCTTGTGATTTCTTCCGCGAGATTTACTGTCGGGTTCAATTAGCAGTTACTGAATCTCAGCATTGTGTTTTTTCAATCATCTCGACCACAGATGAGTGGGAAATACCATTCGAGTCGATCAGGGACCTTCAGTGGCTGGGCAGCGGGGCCCAGGGGGCTGTCTTCCTTGGCACGCTGGAGACGAAGAGTGTTGCTGTGAAAAAGGTGCGGGAGTTCGAGGAGACGGACATCAAGCACTTGCGAAAGCTCAATCATCCCAACATAATCTCGTTCATGTGAGTGGCTTGCGGGGGAAGGGATCGGTGATGGCAGTAAGCCAATTTCACACTTCGATTGTTCATGCTCGGCGATGCCGCTTTATCTCAAGGTCGGTCATTCTCTGCGCTTGCCAAGCAGAAACCCGCCACTGTAGTAACATGGGCAGCAAGCTGTTTACATGGATGGTAACAGCAAGCACTGTGAAGCCACTAGTGGAGCTGGGGAGGGGGTGGAATTAGTCGCACGCCCCCTCCAAATGCGAAATTGGCTTATTCGTGACTGTGCGTGTTGCTGCAAGCATTCTGAAGCAGTTGATTGCCTTGGTAAATAAAATACTACTCACCCATTTGCAGACTGATGGTGCAGCATTAACAACTTAGTCAATTTCTGACTTGGAATTTTTAGACTTTAACCCGCAAGTTATATGCTAAGGCTACATACTTTAACAATTAATTTTGTATGGCTGTATGCATGCATCAGTATAAATAATGGTTTAGTTATATTGTTTATGTGTTTATATGTTTAGTTAAGTTGTATTTATCCCCACTGTAAGCAAATAGTCAAGAAGCAGTGAACATTTCTCACGCTTCAAACAATGAGTTATTCGTAGTTAAGTATTCATGATAAAGTTATTTATGTTTGCACAGCCTATTTCCAATGATTCGTGATATTAACTATATATGAACCTGTTTCACCTCCGTTACCGGAGATTGACAGGTTCGTAATGGCTTTGCATTATTGAATGTATCTGTCTCTCGGTGGTCATGTTCTGTCTTACATTACAACCTTGTATACATCTAATAACATGGTATTACGTGCGGTGCAATTGTAAAGGTTACTAGGTTATATGTAATTGGTTTTTGTTGTAGGTTATAAGCCTATAAGGTAATATATAATTAAATGTAATGGAATTTTCGATCCAATCTTCTTTCAGTGGTGTGTGTACCCAGGAGCCTTGCTACTGTGTCATCATGGAGTACTGCCCCTATGGACAATTGTACGAGGTGCTGCGGGATGGCAGGGTAGAGGTATCGCCTCCTCTGCTCTGTGAGTGGGCGAAGCAAATAGCTGCTGGCATGACTTATCTCCATTCCCACAAGATCATCCACCGGGATTTGAAATCACCTAAGTATGTGCATATAATATATGTGTTAGGCACGTCAGTGTATACATTAGATCGATACGTGTTCTACTGTGTGTTATCAGCATTGAGTTATATTACCATAATAACATCACTCTGACGTATCTGTCAGATTTTACAATGTGCTATGTTGGCAAAAATGTGATAATTTATTATGCATGCGTTTGAAAATGTTAACTGTATGTTTGTTTACAGCCTTAAAGTGCTATTGCTACATTGCTGTCCAGACTAATACATTCCCATAGGATTAATCTTTGACAATATATAATCTTGCAAATAATTTGGATAATTTTATGTCTATGTAAACTGGTAATATTGATGTTAGCAGCTGAGGGAAATAATTTTTACCTAAATTTTTCCCCCACTTTCGAGCATTTTGTGATGGAACGTTTTCACATTTTCTATAGTGTGCTAATAGCAGAAAGTGACGTCGTCAAAATATCAGACTTTGGGGTGAGCCGACATCTAAGTGAACAGAGCACTGTGATGTCATTTGCTGGTACGGTCGCTTGGATGGCTCCTGAAATCATCCGCAATGAACCTTGCTCTGAAAAGGTCGATATATGGTAGGTTTTACACGTGGATAGGTTCATTTTTTTCTCCACGTTTGACATGAATTGCCCATGTGTGGCGAATAAATTGATATCTAATTGTCTATAACTTCCAGTGAAGAGAATCCTTTGAAATCATTGACTTTGGAAGTGTGGAGGAATGTTCGGGATTCTTCTTATCGTGTTCTGTTTGCAGGTCGTTCGGTGTTGTTCTCTGGGAGCTGCTAACATGCGAGACGCCGTACAAAGATGTTGACTCATCAGCCATCATATGGGGGGTTGGCAACAACAGCCTGCACCTACCCGTGCCGTCGACGTGTCCCGATGGCTTCAAGCTGCTTATGAATCAGTGCTGGTATGTGACAGTTCAGCCCCATAGTTTTACCTTTGTGCTATAATGAAGAATTAAGATATTTGATTGTGCGCGCGAGTGAATGGTCGCATCACTGCAAAGCGCGTTGCAGTAGGGAAGATGGGGACCAGCTGGTCATCGGTTGCATACGTATAATGTGAATTTCAGGAATGGAAAGCCAAGGAACAGACCTTCGTTTAAGAACATTCTGATTCATTTGGACATAGCCGCCGCAGAAGTCCTGGATATTCCAAAGGAGGAGTATTTCAAGATTCAGGTGCGTCACTTCACTTGTGGTGGAGTTGCATTCGCCATCCCCATATCTATACGCTGCATTGTGATTTCAATACGAAAAGGGTGAAAATCTTTGGAAGTTATGTGCACCCTCTTGTCATACATGTATAATCATTGTTACTGCAGGGAGCTTGGAAAGAGGAAATAAAGCAGTCGTTTCAGAACATCAAGAGTGGCACTGTACACATTCCACGGCTGGAAGAGGAACTGATACGTAGACGCAGACAGGAACTTCGGTAAGGCAACTGACGCATGTCCATAAACTGGCATTGTAACTAACCAAGGTGTATATCGAAGTGACAGTTAGCTCATGCTGTGTGGTTAACATTGACATGATAAGACATTGCAGTATTCTTGTGATTTTGTACGCATGCTACTGTTGTAAGCACACCATTCTGTGTTGGAGCATGGCAGCATGTGAACTTACAATGAAAAGCCTGCAATGGTAATTACTGTGTCTGTAAATAGCTTTGCTGCAGTGGATGTCAACAAGAAACCCTATAAGTTCTACTGCACAATACTGATTTGATCAGCTCGTGACGTTTATGAATCTATGAATATACTTGAGACCTTTCGGGCATGTCAGGTGTTATATTTCTACGTATTTATAAAGGTAGTATATTCCTACTTCCGTCAAAAAATTGTGCATGGAAAGATTATGGTAATATGATGAGGATGTATTATAGTATTATAGCCATGCATCACACATGCTAAAACACTATTGTTCAGGGATAAATATATATATGTATATATATATATATATATGTCATGTACGCCTATTTTTCAGCCATGCACAGGACATACGGGAACACTATGAAAGGAAGTTAGACTGAGCACATAACTTGTATATGGAACTGAGCACAGTCATGTTACAGCTAAAACACTATTGTTCAGGGATATATATATGTCATGTACGCGTATTTTGCAGGCATGCACAGGACATACGGGAACACTATGAAAGGAAGTTAGACCGAGCAAATAACTTGTATATGGAACTGAGCACAGTCATGTTACAGCTTGAGCAACGTGAGAGAGAAGTCATCAAGTGCGTATATCTTCCTTGAAATTTTTTTAATCTTTGCTGCTTGAGTAAGATAAGAAAACGTGATTGTGTTCTTCTAAGAACCTAATATATCCACTCCTTCTTGTCTAGAACTCACAAAGGGCTAGGATTTCAGTAATCTGCTTGTTCGTCTCGAAAAATCTGTAGATATATTAGTAACAGTAATCCAACTGGATCCCTGGAGAATTTATTATTCACAAAATTATCCTAATAATAAGTTTTTAATAGAAGCATTGCCCCTGGAATTCGTATTGTTAGAAAACTTGGTTTATTAAAATTAGAAACTTTTTGCTGAAATTAGAAATTTAAGATAAAGCCTCAGCAATAATGGCAAAGCAAGTTATTACTAATCAAGGTTTCTGGTTATTATGAGTGAGGTGAGAGTCAGGGAATGTTTCTATTGTAGTAATTCTCAGGGTTTATTTCTCTCACACTGTTTAGAGATGTAAGTACGTTGGTGACCTTCAAACTTAACTTTTTCTATTCATTTCGTCTGCGTGGTTATATACAAAAAAGCATTGTGAATGAACTGTCTCCACTTTACCTACATTTCAAAACGTTGATTGTTTCCAACTCATATGTTATGAAAATATTTAAACAAAATCCTTTATGACTATCAGCTCTGATTATATTTTACATGCAAAGCAATGGCGAAAATTCCATTGCTAGATTGCAAGTATAGAGTAATAGAATATGTGATCATTGATATACTTATAGGTAATTAAAGGGATCGTTTACTTTAGGTTCTAGGGTTATTTTCAGTTAATTTAGGTTAAAATTACGCTACATAAAAAGTTTCATGGTTTAATCACCATTAGAAATTTTATTAAATAATGTTTTAAAACTAACAACTACAGTTTGATTACAACGACGGTGGCGCCACTCAAAGCGCACGATCTGATAAGTTGCGCAAAACCACTTTCCAGCCAAGGGCTACAGACCGAGGGTGTTTCTTATTTATTCATTTAAAAGCAAAAGGATTGTAATATATTATAAACGACATATAGTTTCAGTTATAATATGGGCACTCAAGGTTTTGCACATGTATTGCTGTAATGAGGAATAAACGTGTAATGACAAATGAATCGAATCAATCACACATTTTATTTATAGATGAGATGTATCTCTATGCTCAAGCAAAAGATTTCATTTAATTTCCAGCACCTAATTATGTGACAACACAAATTTTGAATTTTAATGTAAAAATGGTATTTTGGATATTTCCCAATTACCACAAAGAGTGAGATAGCAAAACTTTTGCCACAAGTTAGGCACAGTATAAACCAAAAAAGAGCATCAGGATTTTTCTTTAATTTTCATATTTACCAAAAAAATGAAAATTGCCTGAAATTTAAGTCGTATGTATAGTTGATGGATACTGGCATAATGAATACCGTGGGAAGTTAGGGTGTATCATGTCTCTGACGTCATGAGTGACGTCTGCCACGGCTCAAGTACGCGGGCAATCAAAACGCTCGGAAAGTTCACGCGCATCGTTATATGGAAAAATAAGTATGTACAAAGGTGTCGAAGGTACAAGGTATCGAATAAGAATGAAAATTTAAAAAACTGGTAAAATATGCATAAAAGCTTGACTGTATCTGTAATTAACTGCCTAGTATTTCACAAGAGTATGATTATAATGCCAAGTCTTTTATATAAGAGTCGGTATAGTATATCTGCCTATTATGCAAAGAACAGCATCAGGTGATGCACTCTACCAGCACAAACAACTTCCCAGTGCACGTGGGTGTAAGTAAGTGTCAGCAGGGAACAGATTACTTGGAGTCGCTCGCCAATTTATGCCAGCTATATCATTTCATACGAATCAATTTATGGCCAGTGCTAACCAAACACACCCTTGCATCATTATGAATGCAATTCATAAAAAAATAAACGTCAGCAATTCACGATTGGAACTTTTGCACTAAACCGCACCTTCAAAATTTCAAGTTGCTAATCAGTTTTCAATCAATTCTGATCAACTATTTTAGCTAGGCAAGTTTTTTTCAATTATATTGTACCCTTGAGTGAACTGTAGCTGCTCTCTATTGTAGGAAGGAGCAGCAGATGGCAATGTACACGAACCCATGTAAACTGGTGAAGAAACGAATAGTGAAGCCAGTGCTAAAAGTTCAGGAACGCAGTGGCAGCAAGAAGCGGTCACCAAAGTCAACGGCCGAGGAACACTTGAGGTAAGCTTGAAGCGCCATCTTTCCATATGTGAGAGGGTACTAATCAGCAGTTTCGAACATACTACTTGTCCATGCAAGTGTCAATCAGTTCTCTCTTAATTGCACACGCCAAAACCGCTCACCTCGGAGTGTAAGTTTCTGAAAATGTAACGAGTAGTAGGTAAAGGTGGTTTAACAACAAATTTAGCATAACCAATTAGAGTATTTAGTTGTTTTTCTTTACATTGTTGGGGTGAATGTATGTGCACGTATCATTGGGCAGATGGTGATAGCTATTTCAAAGTATTATCCCTTTATTGAAATCATAGATAGCAACAAATAATATTCCTCGGCATGATATCTAATTTGGTACTCACATACCTACCTAAACATACCTGCTATTCAGAGACTATACTTATAGGGGAGTTAGTGTATTTACACAACACATAATTCTTGTAATTTCGTGCATCTTTCTGAAAGCGATATCACTGCTTTGTGAATAGAACGTTTTTCTGCACATTTTCTATTCCAGCCCACTGAAGGTGGTGCCAGCTACCGCACCGTCGCCCATTCCGCCGGAGGCTGTGTCGCCAGACGCGTCACCCAGCAAAGTGAGAATACGTAAAGTGCGTCATCGTCGACTGCTGTCACGAGGCACGATGACAGCGATGGCGGCCATGATGAGTCCGTCAAAAGACTCGCTGCAGGTATGGCGTGCACACGTTCTTATCATTTACCCATATGATAAATATAAATAGAATTGTACACATGATATTTTATATATCATTTATATAAAAAAAACATGATTATATTAACGTATGGTAAATATATAATATTATATTTTTCGTGTTGGGGGTATGTGTGTGTCAGTGCACACAGTGCCACTGTGTTATAATTAATGCATAAGAAGTACTGCATTTTTGAATGAAGAGTATGCGATCAATCGTGGACCTTTGCACAGTGTCAAATCACTGCCCTATAGCTGGCTGTGGTCACACATTTGCGTCATTGCTGTAAAAAATTTCCCCGTGGTCCTACTCGCATTCTTAAATTCTTGGTCCTGCGTGCTTCCTCCGTTTCGCTTTCCTTCGTATGTCATTTGCTAATGCTATAAACTACCACCTCTGCGCTACTCGTGCTAGCACATCGCTCCTCTGCCGCCCATCTGTAGCAAGACGCGGTCTGTGCTTGCAGTGCAAGCTGCAGGATCTGCGTCCCGACGATGACCGACGCAAGCTGCAGCACTCGCAGTACCTCGAGAACATCAAGTACGGCGCGGGCCTGCGCAGTCCCAGCGTCGCCGCGCACGGCCTCCCGGGCGAGACGTGCCTCGACGACGCCGGCCGCCTCGTCCGACCCGACGACTCGGCGGCCTCCCCGTTCAAGCCGTGCGACAGTGTGCGCAAGTCGTCGAACACGAGCCTCGAGAACGTCATCTTCGTGAACGAGGAGGAGCGACTGAGCGGTGGCGGCGGCGGTGGCGGCGGCGGCGGCGGCTGCGGCGGCGGCGGCGGCGGCGGCGGCCTGCTCGGCTCGCCACGCAAGGACAGCTGCGAGCTCGGCAGTCCGAAGATGTGGACGAACCCAAAGAACGGACGCGGCGGCGGCGGCGGCGGCGGCGGCGGCGGCCAGAAGTCGACGCGTCTGCTCGGCAGCAACAAGTATCCGCAGAAGGCCTTCCTCAATAGAGAGACGGACGAGATCATTCGCGTTCCGTACGAAGCCGACGCGACGGCGGCAGCGGCAGCGGCGGCGGCGGCGGCGGTCGCGAAGGAGTCCGTCAAGGAGCTGTTCGTGAAGAAGACGGCGCTGCCACGCGAGCTCGAGCACTCGTACACGGACAGCACGAGCAGCGACAACCAGAGCCTTGAGCGCAGCTTCACGCAGAATCTCGCCAACGGCGCGATGCAGCGGTGCACCTCCCTCGCCTCGTCCGCCGCGTTCACACACTCGCCGAGCGCGTCGACTCGGAGCGACGGCGGCGGCGGCAGCGGCGCTCCCACTGGCGGCGAGAGGCCGAAGTTGCAGCCGTACACGCGGCACACGAGCAACAGTTCAGACGCGACGCCGCCGATAAACGGAGCCGTGCCGCTTGAGTCATCAAGTAGTACTGGAGGAACGCAGGTAATGTGGTGATCATTTTTGCGAAATGTTATATATATCTATTAGGTTGATATTAATGAGGGAAAGAGGAAAATGAAGATTGGTTTTCAAAGCTGTTTGAAGTATATTCTTGGTTCTTTGTGGCCCTCCAGCAGGGTGTTTATATGAAAGCATCTTGTGTAATGTTGTGTAGATATGACAGACTAGGTATATTTAAGTTGACCATTAGCATGTTTTGCTGTGCCCTGTAAATTTTTCTCATTCATGTTTACTGTATGCTTTTTTTTCATTGTGCAATTAACAGTGTAGTAATAATGCAGCTACATCTCCGTATATTATTTAGCTTGAAGTATGCATGGCTTTAACATATGTACTTGAAATTTCGTGCAAAATAGTGTATAATGTGTAGGTTATTAGTTCAATATTTTTTTGGTTGCCTTTTCTAGCCATCAGAAGACTCCTGGTCAGAGGGTATAGATACGGAAAGTGACATGGAACTAAGACGGGCAACAATGTAAGATATATTTATGGTGCAGATCTGAGGCAGGTTTTCTGCCTGCTTCACACATTTTGAGCAGTAAATGTCTCCTCACAAATCTGTATCAGCCCACCTGGTCGTCAAAGTGATCAAATTATTAACTTTACGTGGAAGAACTGAAATATTAGCATTCTAAACGTTGCCACGAAAAAGTAGACAAATGGCAGAATGAATTTGCCACACAAAATTGATGCCTGCATCCATGAACTCGGAAGACGCGATGGGCATTCCATATTGATCGTAGCACGTTCACTATACTACAGGGGTTAGCTGCCTTCAGCTAAACTGAAAATTGCTTGAACTATTTCTGAATGTGTTTTAAGTCTGCTGTGTACTGTATGTACTGTTTAAAACGCATCAAAACGGCACCCTACCACACCATTCCTGACCCTTAGCTCCTAATGTGCACTCCTAATGTGGGAGAGCACTTTGTGCTTTATTTTCCTCTTGGGGTAGCATGCACTAGCCTACATAGTATGATTAAATGCACTGAGGTTGTTCAAACATATTGCTGGAGACATCAGAAAACAGCTTGGGTTTTATTAACATTGTGACTTTTTGTAATATTAATGAAGTTTTATGATTAAAGTAAAGATTAAAATTATTTTACTACCTGGAGAAGCCACAAACCCACTAATGACCAATAATGAGAAACAATTCGTTCTTGCGCGTGGATTTTAGGACTCTGTAGTAGTGGCCTATGTTTCATGCTATTATCAGATGTATTATCCGTACTCGTAAGCTGTTTAACATATTTAAACACCATTATGCTTTCGGAATAACACTAGGCCTCTTATTTTAATATATTTGGATAATGTTGTTCTATGTGAATATGGCATCAACTGTGTTTGTCAAATTCCCTAGAAGCTAGCTAATCCAGTGAAACCACGTCCAAAATAGTACTGACCCTGGGTTCCTGCTCAAATGTTTGGTTTAGCACTTACCTCCTTCACAGTGAATATATTGAATACATCAATGAATTTGAATGTTTGGGTATCATAAAGCAAAAACACTGTGAAATTTTACGAAAATGTCGGTAAAATCCCCCACAATGTTGAGTACACAATTTACTATTTACAACGTCACAACGCACACCGAACCATCCAACTTTTTCCCCCAAAACCCTCCCATTCTGGGGGGGGGGGGTTCGCGAGTCTTCGTCTCACGGAGGCTGACGGTGCCTGCATTTGCAGTGCGCACCACATGAGCAATCGGATGTCCGGCTACTCGACGTTCAGCTCCGAGGGCAACGACAACAACTCCGATTACGAGGAGAACACGAGCGAGCATTCGATGCGCGACACGCCCGACCGACTCGTCTCGTCCACCAGCGGCTCGGACCTCGCCTATCACCTGCAGGCGCAAGTGCAGCAGTCGGAGGCGGACATAAGGAAACTCAAGGCGCGATACGAGTGCGAGGTACGCTCGACGTTGGGGGGAGGCAGAAGACACGAATGGACGGGTGGGTGCTATTGGGGGAGGCACTGAGTGGATGGTATTGGAAATGAGTAGGTGGGTGGTAGTAGAAAGAAGTGTGGCAGTCATATTAAGAGTGAGTGGGTGGGTAGAATTGTGAGGGAGTGGGTGGGTGGTATTTGGACACAATCGGTGGGTGATATTGGGAGGCAGTGTGTAGGTGATATTGGGAGGCAGAGGGTGGGTGGTATTGGAGGAAGTGGGTGGGTGGTAGCAGGTGTCTGTGACTGTAAAGTGGTTTGGGACTGTAATATGCATCTGGCGAAACCATAATCGTGTAGAATCTTTAGCACCTATATTATAATTCTTACCCCATAACAAACCTGTACCTGTGTTTAATCATGGTCACTCCTATAGTGAATCTACGACTGAAGCGATCACTTGGTCAGCTGGTTGCTTCGTGTTTGTTACAGAACTCGAATCACTCGGTTCTGTCGTTGTCAGAACCAGACCTCGTCGACTCCTCGGACAGCTCTTCGGACGAGCGATCGATCGACACGATCAGAACCGCGCTCGAGAAATCTCGGAGTACCGGCAGCAGAGAGAGTGCAACTAGCAGTCACAGCGTCGCAAGTGCACTCAGTATCACCAGTAACCACAGCATGAACTGGTAAACACTTCACCGATATCCACCGTGTCACCTGGTGCACATGTCACTAATGTGCACAGTCCACAGTGGCAACTGGTGAAGGTGTCACCCGTATGCAAAGGGTCAACTGGTGGAGGTGTCACCAGTATGCACAGTGTCAACTGGTGGAGGTGTCACCAGTATGCACAGTGTCAACTGGTGGAGGTGTCACCAGTATGCACAGTGTCAACTGGTAGAGGTGACACCAGTATGCACAGTGGCAACTGGTGGCGGTGTCACCAGTATGCACAGTGTCAACTGGTGGAGGTGTCACCAGTATGCACAGCGTCAACTGGTGGAGGTGTCACCAGTATGCACATTGTCAACTGGTTAAGATGTCACCAGTATGCACAGCGTCAACTGGTTAAGATGGCACCAGCATGCACAGCGTCAACTGGTGGAGGTGTCACCAATATACACAGCATCAACTGGTGGAGGTGTCACTAATATACACAGCATCAACTGGTGGAGGTGTCAACAATATACACATCATCAACTGGTGGAGGTGTCACCAGAATGCACAGTGTCAACTGGTGGAGGTGTCACCAGTATGCACAGTGTCAACTGGTGGAGGTGTCACCAGTATGCACAGTGTCAACTGGTGGAGGGGTTTCGTGTAGGCAAGAGTATGCACCAGGTGCTAGAGGACTCGTATAGTATGGCACCCAGTAGCTGCTCTCTGGCAGCTAGTAGCCCCCCCCCCACCCAGCGATTCACTAGCAGCAATTCTGTCATGCTAAGCAGGCTTCATTTGCGTGCCGAGCAAAAGCATTGGTGCACACCAGATATGAAGGGTCGTGACGTGTCACTACAACAAAGACTGTTGGTGTACACATCATCCTAGCTGGCCTTCAAGGGCACATGACAGTGACCAGGTCAATATTACATAGCACCATGGAGTGAAGAAAAAAACGAAATCATTGATCATGTTGCGTGAATGTTGAGAGTAAATACAGTAGCGTTACTACATTATATCAAATGTATATTTCGGTACACATAAATAGCACTATCCAGTTATCAGTAGTGGATTAACAGTCTGGTGCAAGACTGGCGGTGATAGAATTCTTTCTAGCCAGATATCTATGTTTTATGTCTATCGCAGTAAGACACAGTCATTTCGCGGGGAAAGTTTGCCGATGTGTGGGGTTTAAATGAGGATTGATACCAAGAAAGATTGTGTGATATTTGAGGCAACCTCTGAATGATTAAATGGATACATGGCCCCTAGGTTCCTTGCATATTTTCAGTTAAAATAGGTTAAATTACGCTACATAAAAAATGTCATTGTTCAATATTAATTTGAAATATTTTTTTTTACGTTTTAAAACTAATGGCTGTATCATTGCTTACAACGGCGGTGGCGCCACTACTAGCCAGCCAATCAACTTTCAAAGTTGCGCATCACAACTTTTTGACTGGAGGCTACAGACTGAGGGTGTTTCTTATTTATAAATTTAAGATGAGAAGGATTGCAATATCTTATAAACAACTTTTAGATTCCGTGTTATAATCTGGACGAATTTGTCTTAAAATAAAAATCGTTCAGTTAAATTGCAGTTATATATATATTATATGTAAATATAATTGCACTTTTGTGATTAGCCCTCGGTCCGTAACATGCAAAATAAATCGGCAAAAGCGCAACTTCATCAGGGTGGCAGCACAATCGCAGGGGTGTCATGTCAACGGCCAATAATAAAGATTTCGAAACTCACTGTTGTTTTATGACAAATGTGAGTGCGTGATTATAGAAATTTGTAGATATATACTATTATTTATGCATTTACTATCATAATATACCTTAAAATTCTAGGGTGTAGTATCCCTTTAAGTGTTTGCTGTGACCAGAATTCTATGTCGAAATCTTACGGACTGAAAAAAAATAATGGTGAAACAGTGTGTTCATTATTGATGAATATGCTACTTGCACAGTACATAGAGGAGAATTCCTTTTCCCATACTGATCAGCTGCTGAAATACCCCGTGTGATCTCTACAAAAACGAAATCAGTTTGTGCTTGCCTCAATTGCAAAGAGGTGGAGAGAGAGCAACGGTGAGACCTAGAGTGAGCGTACAACAGTCTGTTCACTATCTGGATAGTTTTCTGCGTAGCCCACGGTTACGTGGATAATAACGCAGGGATAGCTATAGGGAATGCTATAGTTAGCCATGGGGTGTGACCTAGCTTGGGTAAAGCCAGGTAGTTAGCCTTTAGCCAAATTGCACTGAGGGTGGTCACAGCCAGAGTTTTTTTGCTCCCTCAGTGGTTCTTTTACGTCCCACTATAAAGCAGTGCATGGTCGTTAGGCAAACCTCAGGAAATCAGTATATGCAGCACCTCGTTATTGGCTATTCGTGTTTACGAGGTGTTCCATTCTAAAGCATCCAAAGGCGTGGATTACATTGTTTTACTCAAGTGACATTCTAGTTAGGTGTGCGTTATTGCACGCGGTGCGGTATGTTGTTATGGTATTCATTTTGCGTGTATGCTCTCAACGGTCTCGAGAACAAGGTACAATACATATTTATGTACCCTTATCTTGGTGTCAATCGCAATTGCCATCAGTATAACCTTCATGACATTCGGATAGCATGAGGTAATAAGTGACGCTCTCTTGAGTGGAAGATATGGTAGGCACGTATTACCTTCATCTGATGGAGTCTTGCATGACAAACAATATGCCCAAACTTTAAAAGATATGTCGTCTGGCTACATAGTGCTAACGTGTAAACACGGCATAGCAGGAGGCATTACTGCACTCTCATACGACACGTGTTATCCCCAACGATTATTAGCTGTTCAGATATCTAAGTGTATGGTCTAAATCCCAAGGTAGTCAGTATGTGTAGCACAAGTATCCCCTGTGTTTAGTCGGCTTACTCTACTAACAATGCCAAAGTTGGTTTATTGGTGGATAAGATATGGCATTTGATTAAGTCTTCTTTAATGTACAAATGCCAAGTAGCTTATCAGAAGAACAAATATTTGAAATCGTATTTTCAAAATAAAAACTATAAAACAGGTATTATAAAACCCCCACCTAACTAAACAATGTAAAATGAAACGGCTTTGTTGTGCCGCACAGCGCACCGTAATACTGAGCCCCGGGCGCATGCGCTGTTCTTTTCCGGCGTGTAGCAGAGATTGCTTGCTAAGCATCCCTAAACGTTCATTGATCATGATGAAAACCTATAAGGAAGTTTTACCACACACGGTAAAATAGTTTAGGAATGAATGTTTTTCTCGTTTTAATGGTGCACACACTGATATGGATATAACAAAGTAGGTTTATATGTACACGCGCACAGACGCTCACGCACAACTGCTATATCTATAGGAATGTGTGTACCGGACAAAAGGAGAAAAACATTAGTTCTTACCATGCTCACGATGTACTGCCATTAAATGAATCGGTGGGGTACGTGATCACGTGTCTAGATGAGATGTCTTTACATTTATGTCTTATCAAAGCCATATTGTAGGCAAGTAGCAGTGGGAGCAGTATAAAGGTTCAAAGAGTCCCCAGTAGGTAGTATCATAGACTAACGATATTTTTAATCTATGGTAGTAGTTATCAGGAGTGAATATAAACATATTCTGTTTTTATTCACTGCTGTAGTTATCCATTGCAAACAGCAGGTGTTAAATTGTGGTAAATATCCGAACGGAAATCACAGACAGGTTGTACTATTTTCTTTCATCTAAAAATCGATTAGTGGTTAGTATCGATGACTTTGTAACTTCTAGTCATCGTTTTGTGTTTGATGAAGAGAGAAGGTTTTTAACATAACTAGCACGAACGTGTGAATATTACGATGGCTGGCAGGCTTCGATTTTAACGAGCATAGAGTAGGTAGTGCTAGTGCTTGTTTACGATTGATTGTAGACGTGCCACTATTATATAACTTTAAATACGTAAGGAATATAAGTTACAGGCTGTAGATTGTGTAAATATGTAAAATTCTTGCTCAATATTTGTATGAATGTAGTATGTTTAAAGTAGTCACCGATATTGGCCTTTTGCCTTCCAGTAGTAGAAAATTGAGGAGGTCGAAGAAGCAAGGTCACCTTGTCGGGGGAGGCAGGATATAAAACGGATTTTAAAGAATTTGTTTCATGTATTTATGTGAAGTGGTGGTGAAAGTAAACTGGACCTCTGTTGACATGTAGTTGACCGCCTGTTTTCTCCTCCACTCACTTCACTCATTATCAAGCTTTGTATATCTGCTATATGTCCCTCTAATTTTCTTGTGAATCCCGTATTCCGCAAGTACACTTGTCTTAGACAGAGTCACCAATTTAATTCATCGAAACATTCCAGTAAACTTCGAGTGAGTAGTTAGTTATTAGTTGCTCATCGTATTTTAGGTAAATCCAGCAGAAATTCGAATAACAGCAACAAATCTACTTGGAATTTGTGTTTGCCAGAAGCTCGCACGTTCTGTAGGTCGCGTTTTGGTGCAGTTTACGCCGTATTTAGCTTTTGCCGGCTATAGTTGCCGTTGAGGCGTCTACGAGTAACATCAGGTGTGAATAATAATAGATATATTATTATTGACTCCTGATAACATCATAAACGTCTGCCTTTAGCAATATACTGGCGTGGCAATAACAATTCATTCCGATACATGTGGGTAGGGATGAAAAATATATTTATTATTTTTTATAGCCTGATATACGTGTGAATGACTTCTAGTCTTTACCCCCTTGTTGCAGTCAGTCATGTCAGGTTTTAGTGGTTGCTATCACATCGAAGACTGTTAGTTGACTACAGTAACTCTGGATTACGCAGGGTAATTATCTTGCCAGGGAAGGCGCAGGCTCGTCTTGGTTGATTGTATATGAGAAAGGTTTGCGGATACGAGGACTGCAATTTATTTTTTAAACTTGGATCTATCATTTATTCAATCGTCAATATTATTATAGTTAATATTATTTTTATTTTTATTATCTTGGCAGCGATAGGAGAGCTGCTACCGAATCTAATTTTTCACGCCTAGTATTTTTTCTAGACACGTATAGATAGTACGTGCGCCGCATTAAGGCACTTGTTTCCAACACTTACTAGGTGCATATAGTACCTCATTGCTGCATGACTGTTTACGATTGTTGTAGTAACAGCGTTACTCATTATTTACGTTAGTCGTTTTGTATTATATCGCTAGGATCGATGCTTGTTTAAAACTATAAAGTATACTATCTGGTAATACGTAAATATCATTGTTTGCTGGATTTCTGTGTGGCTGCATTTTTCCGTCGATTACGTATAACAAAGGTTCAACTGACTTTAAATATGGAATGTGAGTGTAAATTTTAAAACACAGAAGGGAAATCGGTTAAAAATTTGGCGAGGTGCGAAACAACAGATTTATAATCCCACAGCAGACGCTCAGCAAACGCCTCGCGCATCCGCTGATGTAATTATCAGTTGCTATATATACTTTACTCCTTTTTAATTTAATTGCTCAGTCACGTGTGTTAGTGATTAAATATGATTCGTGCATTTATGGGAAACGTTCACCTCTAAATAAATTATTCACTCTATTAGTATTTGTTCTTTGTTCATATTACGCCGCCAATAATGTATTTATTGCAGAAAATTTGTGTCTATGCTTTCTACATATGTGTCAGTAAATCTAACGCGACATTCCATTCGTTTATATATCAAGTCGAAATATTTAACATCGATAGCTAGTAGTGTTTCGTTGTTATATCCCAAAAAATACTAATATTAAACCTCCTAAATTGAGGGATATATAAACTTTGCAAAGTGACATAATAGTACCCAAATCTCACACTTATAGGCCTAATTGGGATTTATTCGCATGTGTGTTTAAAATCGACGGTTTTTGTAATAAGGAAAAGCTGGCAACATGGAAATAGTTTGAAAGTAGTGCTGATAATTTATTAAAAATGTGTTTCTGTCATTATAAGCTCAAAAGACATATAGGTAAGAAATAGTATGACAATTAAAATTACATAGCTTATATAAGCTTAGCTCTTTTACACGACATCACAGGGTATTTACAATCGTAATGTAACATAGCAATATTAAAATGTAAATTTTATCAAAAATACAAAAAAGAAACTAAAATAATTGTGACACGATGCAGTAATAGTTGACAAATGTAGTATTAACCGTAAAAGTGTAACACGTAAGACGTTTTTACTCTGAGGCAGTTGTATTAGCAGGTCTCTACTCTGGCTTTCTGCTATTATAAGCATAAAAATATTTACCTATAGTTTTTTATATTTATGATCACGAGCCCATAAATTTCACAAGCTCATCACATAATGAATTAATCATGCCTGCATGCTATTTTCATAGGAACATGTAAACACCAGTAGGAAGAATAGTAATGTAACTATTTAAAATCGACAATTAAAATAGTGGTACAGTAGTACGTAAGGCAAATTAGAGGGTAACGAGACGAGCAACTGTGATAGCGAACCATGCGTTTATATTATACAAAATCACACGCCATGTTGTTATAGCTATGTTTCATAATCGCTATTAATCTCTCCGGTAATCAATCAACCATGAATAAGTTACAGCAGTTCTGCCTTATACAATGATTGATTAATCGTACTTCAGAGATCGTATAAACCATGGCAGGTTCCATCGTGCCATGCGGACGTGCACGCATACCACAAGTAAAGTTATTTCATATATATATAAAAATTGAAATAACCTTACTATGTTATTCATACCAAGTATATATATATACCTAGCCATGCCTCTACCTTAGCCTCAAATGTTTTCCATACCTTTGTAGCCTTTGAAGTATACGTAATAGTATATGACTTTCGCTAAATTAGGGTAGTCCGTAAAATTATTACGCATACAAATGTGCTCGGAATGTCAATTGGTGCGGTTGGTTTCGTGTTAGCGATTTTGCATTACAAACAGAGTGTATTCGCGCTAACTGAAAAGCGTGTGTTTGAACTGTTAGCTGGCTGTTCCCATGAACGGCCAACTCTGTCGCCTCGTGATTATAATGTTCAGTGTATGCTGCGTCATTCCCTCACCTGATGGACTGCCCTACCCGTTAGCTCTTCTCGTCTAGTCACCGCCTTCCCTAGATTACCTGGTCTGCATAATGAATGATATAATCGCCTTCTCGCCATTACAGACAGCCATAAACAACACCCGTTTACAGACCAATCACCATGTCACTCTTATTTTCTAACTTTCTACGCGATCAATCAGTTTACAGCCTATTTATTTTCCACTATTCTCCAGACAACCCACGTTCCCACCTCTCAGCTGCGAACAGTTTCCTGAACATTTACCAATTATCCCCACCACGCCTTACAGGCCACAGAAATCCAGTTCTCTTACCATCAGGCCTCGAATGTTTCTCCTCCTTACAGATCACCCATATGTCCACTTCAGACCACCCACATTTCCCTACAGACCCCCCCCCCCATCAGACCACCCACATCCCCCCTACAGATCACCGACGTCCCCCTTTATAGACACCCACATCCCTCTACAGACCACCAACACACCCCTTACAGACCACCCCATCCCCCTCTCAGACCACGCATATCTCCTTACCGACCACCCTCATTCGCCCTTACAGACTAATCACATCCCCTTACAGACCACCGACAGTCCCCTCTCTTGGAGACCACCAAGGTTCTCTCTCTGCAGATTACAGACCACCATTGCTTCCCCTCACAGACCACCCATGCCTCCCCTAACAGACCACCAATACCTCCCCTAACAGACCACCAATACCTCCCCTAACAGACCACCAATACCTCGATTTCCTCGCAGACCACCGACGCTTCAGCACCTTACATATCGCCAATGTTCTACCACCTTACAAACCACTCCTCTTGGGTGAATCATGCGACGTTCGCAACCGGGTTCCTCTCATTAAGGCTGCTAGTTGTGCGTGCTGGAGTAAAGCCACCTTGCTGTTTCTCACACGGACGCGTTCACTGCGATGACTATGATCCTACGTAGAGGGTTTCAGAAAAAAAAACATATTGGCTCGTACATTTTACGTAGAAACCCATTGCAGCTGCATATAGATTATTTCGTATATTACGAAATTCATATTACGTCGTATATTGCGTAGATGCCCAGACACATCCAGATTCAAGACAGGTGAACACTAAAATCGAGGGTATCATAATTACGTTGATGCATTGCTGCCGATAGATCCGCTGTGCATTATTGTAAGGCATCCGCTTGCTTCTTAATGCCGTACGCAGTTCCCTGGTCCTCTACTATTATGGCGTTTGTGTCCTTTATACGAAGCCAGTCAGAAGTCGTTTTCTTCCTATGTCGCTCCTGCTGTGCTTCTGCTGCTTCCTTAAATCTTAACCACCCCACCATACAAAGAAATATGTTAGGCTGTGATCATTATATCGAAGCCATACTCGCCGGCACTCTATGATCAGCTATAGCATAGCTGCATTGTGTGAACCATGTATCTCGCGCAGATTCTGACTACAATCCAACTGATATCGTATACAGTTTTTAGATAAAACGATGTGCATTATTCTCTGCATTTGTCATATAAAAATGCTCAATGTCCTATTGTGTAGTTTTGTTATAACACTCTGTGATTATTCCTGTTATGTTAGCGGAAGTTAGATCCAGGCTTGGACCGCTTACTTATTGCAGGTGACGTATGCCGGGAGTAACCCTTTGATTTGGAGGTTGTTGTATGGCGGGGAATGACCCCTTGCTTACTAGATTAGAGTGTATCGGAAGTGACGTTTATTACTAGGGTTGAAGTGTATCGGGAAGTGACCCCTTGCTCCCTAGGGTTGGAGTGTATCTAGAGTGTCCGCTTGCTCACTAGGGTTGATGTGTATTGGGAGTGCCTCCTTGCTTACTATGGTAGAAATTTATCGGGGAGTGACGTCTTGGTTACTATATTTGAAGTGTCTAGGGGAGTGACCCCTTGCTTACTAGGAGTGAAGTGCATTGGGAAGTTACCTCTTGCTTACTATGGTTGAAGTGTCTCGGGGAGTGATGCCTCGCTCACTTTGTTGAAGTGTTTCGGGGAGTGACGCCGTGGTTACTAGGGTTAAAGTATATCGGGGAGTGATCGCTTACTAGCATTGAATTGTAGCAGGAGTGAACCCTTCCATACTGGGTTTGAAGTGTATCGGGAGTTAACTCTCGTTTACTAGAAGTAGGCCTACAAGTTCGAGAGCCATCATTGTGCTTACCGCAGTGTCTTAGGCTTCGGTGCCACCACAATTTCCTCCTCGTCTTCTTTCTCAATTGGATCCTTGAAGCAGTTGTGCAGGTGATTGTCGAGTAGTAGGTGCAGGTGTTTGTTCGTCTCGTGGATGTCATGATTCTGGTCTGGATATACCTGCAGTTGGGAGCATATCATGACAGGTATTTTACAAGGATGTGCTCTAGCTGTGTCTAGATGCCACATCCCATTAGTCATTGCAAATTTGCATAGGTAAAGCCTTTATGATGTATGCTTATTTTTGGAAATTTTAAACTGATACTTGCGTGGATGATAAATATATGAATCTTACTAAATATTAACAGTACATTCGTACATTTGCCTTCGTTGAACTTGCTTGTAGTAGATTTTCAACACGGCTATGGATACCAACTTCTATGGTGTTTATAGGTACGCCACGTATAAACGACACCACGTTGCGCGCATATTTATTAGCAAACTCGCTGCTTACATAACTGCAACAATCTGCCAATTAAAATTGTTTACAGTAATACCCCTATATTACGTAACTATGTATAATACGTAATTAATATATATATATATATATATATATAACCATGTATACTCCCACCGTAATACACCCCCGTACGTAAGTAATGCATGCGTTCAAGAAAAAAACGCTCGTAACGCGATAACCCGTAACGTGAAGCACGTCTTCCTATTTAACGTTATGTTATAACATACATTGTATTATATCCCAGACGGGAGGGGGCGAAAAACTATAGAAAACTAGTGCGATCCAACTTCTTTCTTAAATTTTTGATGGCAGCATTAGCATTTTTAGCATGTTATTATTGCTATATATATAACTACTATGGTAATAACAACACTGCGAGTCAATCAATAAAGCTAACACTGTACACAGCGTATCAGATTCATTTCGCTCGCTTTCGCTATCAGTATTATTATTGTTGGGGTTGCGTTTTCGCGTTCTGATCTGGAGGCAGAAAATGTTTTGGTTGCCGTTTACAGCAGCTCTTCTCTTTGTGAGCTCTCTGTAGCAGCTGAGGTCGTTGTGAATAACCAACTACTCTTGAAATAAATAACCTATGACTGGATTTTACTGTAAGCGGAGGAGACAGATTTGAATCAACACGCACACGCGGTAAAACTGTCCAGTGCGACAGCGGTACGATACACATATCAAAGATGACCCGCCCGACGTATATTTGTTGTCAACTGGCTGCGCATTCTTTACGAATGTAAGAATTTTATTGACAGCAATAATTGAGAGCGAACTTTTTGAGCAGAAATCCCAACTCATTATCTTGAAAAATTATGTGAGATCAAATTTTCGTTTGGTATCGCAAGTAAAGTGATCATAATGTAATACATAATTATACATATGCGAATATCAGTAACCTGGGGTGTGGTAGCGCTGGGTATCGCCGTACAATATATATACATATATATACATTACATATATATACATTATATATACATTACATATACATATATATATATACATATACATATTACATATAAATATACATTATATATACATTACATATATATATACATATATATACATTATATCATATATATACGTATATATATACGTGATGTATATATATATATATATATATATATATATATATATATAATATATCATTGCCTTTCCATATAGTCTGTCCCACGCCGCATAAAATGAATCGTAGGATACGCGCACTGAAAGATTTTAATTTGCGCCCACTGACGTATCCATTTATCTCGTTGGCTGGTGGCCTCTTTATGTTACCTACAACTATATGTAAGTAGTCGACAGAATAATTAGTTTACGAATCTGCACCTGATTCGCATAAGGGCATAATTGGCCTTATACTGTCGAAACGGATTCTCCTGATCACAGAGCACCCACCATTCGTCCTTGAAGAGTATGCTTTCGGCGCTGCAGTTCCTTCATGATAGAGCAGAGTTTCTGGTAGTGCACGTTGTTCTGTCGGCCGACGCGGCACGAGGAGAAAATCGACGCAATAATATAGAAGCTTATCTACCGTTCGTCACACCCGACCGACGTCTTAGAACAGAATGCGCATGCCATGGTAACACGGAACGAAAGGAATGCGTTGTGAAGACCAGCATAATAACGTGTATTTTAAAAAATCACATAGTCACGGTGGGTTTGCTTGCGTAGTTAGGGGCGCGATTGCGATCACCCGATAATCTACGCCAAGTACGCACGCACCGCCCCATGCACGGCACGCACGCACGCACGTCACGCACGCACGCACCGCACACACACACACATTCAAGAACAAACCATCGCACACAGCGCACGCCACGCACACACACACAGACGCACACCTCACCGCTGCTCCGCGCACGCCACGCCGCGCCTCACGCACGTCACAACACAGCACTCGCACGCACACACACACCACACACAAACAAACAAACAACAACAAACACCACACCGCTGTCGCCACGCACGCACGCGACGCACCGACGCACGCAGCCACACAGCACACAACACATAACACACACACACACAAAACACACACACACACACATCGCACGACACAACGACACCACACCACACACACACACACACACACACACACACACATATATATATACACATACATACACACACCTCGTACTCTAGTAAGTTGTTGCCAGCATCCGGTAGGCCCATGTATCGTTCCGTGAACGCTGTGTCTGAAAAAACAAACAAATAATAATCTTGACAGAAGAGCTGATACAAGTCTGATTACTGTTGGACAGGCCAGGCCAGGGTAGTGACTCTCCCCATTATAGCCTGTGTCGCCGGATGAGCCCGTTAATAGTTACCGAACAAGCACCTCCACCCTTCCAGTGATAAACACTGGAAAAGGTGAACTTGCTTAATGTGTAGCTAGAATACGAATTTGATTTCTTATCCAAACTCAAAAATTAACTCTAACGTTAACTCTATGCCCAATTATACCCGGTTGGAAAAGTATAGGTAAACGCAAGGAAAAGAGAGGTGTCAACTTTATTCTCTTGTTGAAACAGTAATTATCTCATGCCGTCGTGACGCAGAGAGCGCGTTGAAATAGTGCCTTGCTCCTAATAGTCCGCCTAATGTGATTAACGAATTAGTCCAGTGTTCCCGTTAATCGTCTCTTCTGGGGGATTGTTTTTCATATTAGAATGTAATATTTCTTTACGCAAGCCACCTTCTTACATTTTGACCTCCCCCTGTGACTTCTTTACCGAGTTTGCTATCAATCCAGTTCGCTTGGATGTGAAGCCAATGGGGGGGAGACGAGGAGGCTAAACGTTTAATGCGATTGAATGGTGGCGCCAGCTAGCGACAGACGAGGTTAAATACTATATTTTCATGACATAATTGTAGGAATAAATGTAGTAAATTGTTCGTATTATTCTATATCCTGCTGAAAATTCATGAAATCTTTATTGATATATATTATCAGTTATATAGGTGATTCAATGATAATACATGCGCAATTTAATTTATCATACATAAACTAATATAACTATGATAGTTCACACGTATACACACATATTTCCCACCAGCCACATTTGGGTACTGGCGTTGCGATTAAATTGCGATGTTGCACGCTCCAGTTCCCATTGTGATATTCTCATATGTATGCATATACCTATGTACTTATCTAAGATGATACAATAGGTTCCGTTGTTCGACTACTTACCATATAGACGCCAATTTGTAATAGGAGCGATGGCCATGCCGCATTTAAATAGAGCGCCGCCTGAATTCATTTTATGGCTTAGGACTTTTGCAGCAAGATATCCTCCGTAAGACTGTAACGAATTGAAATATTGAAAATAGAATCGAATATTTTAATTAATATAAAAAAGATGTATGTATAGGACTAGATAAATACATTTATTTTTAACAAATGAAGAGGTTAAATTACTTATAAGTTGGCGAATATATTTCTGGAATTGTGAAAGAGGAATTGTACTCACCCAACCCCAAATGGCAATTTTCTTCGGATCAATGAACCTGAACGTATCTCTAATGTGTCTGAAGCATTACCATAGAAATAAATTAATAAATAAATTATTTAAATAAATATATTATATATACGCGTATATTATTAGAGCTATCCACTGTGTCATTATCGATAATTGCAAACACTACCAGGATACAGCAGTCGATTTACTATTTAGTTATTATATTTAGCTATAAATTCACTTTATATAATATTGCAATTTTATAATTAATGGTATTGGTTAATCAAAACGAAAAATATATTCACTGTTATTGCTAAAACAACACATTGCGTCAATCGTCATGACTCATGATGTGGTGGTATGTCTGCTATGTCATACCGCGTCACAGCTAGCTGATCGTCGACTTCCTTGCGCCCGAAACGTCTGTATATTTCGAATTTCAACGCGTTGCCTCGGCAACTGGAGCCACGCCCGTCGATATAAGCGACGGCGATGCCGTGCCTGGATGCTAGGTAAGTGCTCCAATCTACCTCGAATCGGTCGTGTACTTTCTGCGTGTCGGGACCGCCGGATCTTAAATGATAGAAAACTTACGAAATATTATCAAAGGAGTTTATTAGGGCAAGTGCACGGAACGCCAGCCGTTTAGCCTCGTGTAAAATCGTTGAAGTCAACGGGTTGTAACTCTTACTAAGACAACATTTATTTTCTGCATTTACTATCGTGGACCTGCAGAGGTGCAATTTTAATAACTACCATGGTACCATGGTACCATGGTACTGCTGCAGCAGTATAAAAACACTGTTGATATGCATGCGAATGCGTCCGCACTCAACCTCGTATTTTCAAAGCTGTCTGTCCACGAATTATCACTAGGAATAGGCACGAGTATACTATATATAATATGTATACCTTTCACGACAATTTATACCTAACTATAGAGCGCCCGGTTCATAGCAGTTCACGCGCCTCATCCACATGATCTGCCCGGAGTTTCCGCGCAATATGTACCTGGTTAAAGATCTTTTAGCGTTATATTTCTCGCTGATACCGCATACCGCTACATATGCATATAATACGGATGTAACGCACTGTAAACGGGGCGCTTTAGACGCTTTATACGCCTCACCTCGATAGATAACCGCTTCGTGATTTTATTCCCAATAGTATTAATTTTACATCAGTATGTTTTTTCTTCTAATTTGTACTAGCCTATATATATATATATATATATATAAGACATTACATAGAGATATTATTACGAATTAAGTACACAATAGCATTGAAAAGTAAACTTACAGTTTGGTTCCCCTGTTAAATTAAATAAAGACATTTGTATAGTTTACAGTATTCCCTTCAGATTTAGTGGCTGCACATCTAAGTAACTAACCGCGCAGCTAATTATGTGACTGAGAGAATAGAAAATATTTTTGTTTTAAAATGATGCTTTTGCAACTTGAAGCATCTTAATCACTTTATAGGTGCGAATTATTCAAGGTCATGTAATATGGCTAACAATTCGATAAGTAATAGAAAAAGCATGTAATGAGAAAGGACTCACTAGATAGAATTCTAATAGCTGAAATATACCTACGCATTTATAAGTAAAGGATATTTCACATTTTCTGCCTCCCTGTAATCAACTGGTAAAATCATTTCGACATTCACTCCTGAAAGGTTGAAAATAACCTTATATAAAACATCACCTTACGGATAACTGCCTGGCATGACATACACAGTAGAACGCGGGGGCGGTGTATTTTGCGTGCTACATTTCATCGCTTGAAAAGGAACAGCCGTAATCGCGTGCCTGATTTCGTCTTACGATACAATTGCCTTTATGACTTGCAGAAATATGCCCACAATTTTCCTCACAATGTCTATATCCCTGATAATTATACCTATCTATAATATTATACTACTCTATACTACTATTATTCATTGTATTATTTACTACTATTATATATTATGTATTGTACTACTATACCAATATCTACCCGATTATTAGAAAACTCGTCGTTTTTTACGGAGATAAAAATGGATAGAAACCAACTCACTGTAATGATGACTGACAGAAACTTGAAAATACATCTTCTTTGGAAGAGCCGTGCGTTCTACAGAGCGTCGTAGATCTGTATATCCACATAATTCAGCCACTAAAACAAACAACAAAACCAATCGTCTATAGCAGTACTTATATTTACACCGAAAGCGATGGCAAGCTCTCTATTTTGTAGGTAACTTTAAAAGTATTTTCAAGTAACGAAGTTATTTAGTAATGCAATGAATCTAGTGGCGGTATATAAGGGGAGAGTGTTTCGGGCGCTGACGCACGTTCGTTTTTATCAATCAATCAAGAGGAAGTGAGAGTCTTGTGCTCCAAATCAATATACAACATTATTAATTTGCGACCTTTAATAAACGCTACAAATGGTAATTTTGGCCTCTTGATTAATCGTTATTTTTACAGACCGCCTTAGCACAGCACCGACGGCATGAGCACAAACGCATTCCTTGCGCCTCGCATTTATATTATTAGATCCACTGCTCGCTACACACAACAGGATGAGGCTATTGTCTAAACTCTAAAGGAATAAAGCGATGTTTACAACATTCGCGGATTGCATCTAATAATCGACCGTTCACTCGTGAAGAAAACTGTCAAACCGCGACGAATGAGCTGACCGACTATATACCGAGACTGAGAATACTAGAGTAGAACCTATTACGTCCAATATAACGGGCAGGATTGAGACTCACGTGAATAGTAAAATCACCAGGCAAGATAATCAGCTATGATTCGGTAATCTCGCTCATAGGAATAGTAGCTTACCTTCCATGTCTATGCGCAACCGATTTATGTCAATTGATTTCCGATCACTTAATGATACTTTATTGCTACTATTTTTTACTATATTTACTCACTACTATATTTTAATAGTCGGCTTTTGACGGCTCTTTACATAACCAAAACGGCAACGATTTTATTATTCGCTGTGTAGACGTACAGGGGTTTGTGCAAACATAAATAAATAAATATATATCAGAAGTAGATAATAGGGCACCCCTATTATCTACTTCTGATATATATGTATATTATATATACAAAAAAATAATTACGAAAACATAATTAAATGTAAAAAAATACAAACAAATAATTAAAGAATAAAATAGTTTTTAATTATCTTATCATTGAAATCGAAATCTTTATACCTGGTTCAACCTGGTCTACACTGTGTAAGGTCCATCGAGGAATCCCAGGCCCTCTACAGTGTAACGTGTAATACTGCGCTCGCTTGCTGAAATATGCACTGTAGTATTGGCATTCCCTTTTCAGGTGGCAGGTGAGACACTCGCGCATGTACGGTCTGTTAGATTGCGGCGTCCCGACGCTCCACAGGTGGCGTCTCCTGGCGTCCTCCTGGTGGCCACCGGTTGCGACGTAGTAGACGAGGCGCGTTTTCTCGTTGTAGCCGACAATATCTGTCACGTCAAACGTACCGTGCGTGATCGGGACTTCGCGAGCCTCGCGCCTGCCGCCCTATGGAGAACAAGCATCGAACGCCTAGTGCTATTTCCCATTCAAGCGGAGGCGTTTTAGAAATTCCCCAAGAGCCACGAACGCATTACGGGGCTCGCTATAAGCAACTGTCACTTAGCCAACTAGCCGCGTTGTCGGTTATCGAGAAATATCGGCAATAACTTTTTCCAGCTCTTTCTATCTTAAAAAATGCCCGAGAAATGGCATTCAAGTTTGTAGAGAGGCATTTTTGAGAGCATGACATTTATACGGTAAGGAGTAAATAAAAAATTGTTTGTAATTATTAATAATTATTAATAAGTTTATATAATAAGTTGTTTTTATTATCTGCTGATCCGGTAGGTAATAGCTGGAACGCAGGCGCATGGGACATAAAGGGAACGAATACGCACCTTGGGTATGATATGGCATTTTAATTAGTTTATACATAAATAAATAAATACATAAATAAATAAATAAATAAATATATATATATATATATATATATATATATATATATATATATATATATATATATATCATTGCCTATTCCATATAGCTGTCCCACGCCGCATAAAATGAATCGGTAGGATACGCACTGAAAGATTTTAATTTGCGCCCACTGACTATCATTGTTGACCACTGACTGACTATCTCGTTGGTGGTGCTCTTTATGTTACCTACAACTAGATCAAGTAGTCGAAGATAATAGTTAAGAATCTGGGCATAATTAGGCCTTACTGTCGAAACGGATTCTCCCTGATCAGCAGAGCAACCCACCATTGTCTTGAAGAGTATCTTTCGGCGCTGCATTGCCTTCATGAGTAGAGCAGAGTTCTGGTAGTGCACGTTGTCGTCGGCCGACGCGTGCACGAGGAGAAAATCGACGCCTTTGAAGTTATCTACGTTCGTCAACACCGACGACGTCTGTAGAACAGAATGCGCATCCATGGTAACACGGAACGAAAGGAATGCGTTGTGAAACCAGCAAATAACGTGTATTTAAAAAATGCACAATAGTCACGCGATTGCGATACGATTATCTACGCCAAGTACGCACGCACGCACGCATGCACGCACGCACGCACGCACGCACGCACGCACGCACGCACACACACACACAAATAAACAAACATCGCACACACGCACGCACGCACACACACACACGCACACGCGCACGCGCACGCGCACGCGCACGCG